CCGGATTCCCCTTGCTGAAGTACTAGTCCCTCTATCCCAATTTATGTCCGGGTAATTAAAATCTCCAATAATGAACGTGTTACCCCAATTTGCAGCTTTCCCAATTTGCTCTAACAGCAGTTCTTCCTCATTAATATTTATATTTGATGGTTTCTAACATATCCCAACCAATAATTTATTTCCCTTTGTTTGCCCCAAGCAGATATCTACCCATGAAGCTTCCACCTTTTCCTCGTCACACTCCACATGCCTAAGATTTGACTTTAACTCATGGTCGACATACAAACATACCCCACCACCCTTCTTGTTTTTCCTATCCTTCTTAAATAACGTGTACCCATTTAAGTAAACTGCCCAGTCATGTGTCTTATCCCACCATGTTTCTGTTATGCCTATTGTATCATATTGTTTAAGGGCTGTACTGTGTGTTTGTTATTGTATCTAGGGGCTCTAGTGTGTGTATGCATATAGGGGCTGTAGAGCATGTGTATTGGTGTGGTAATGTATGCATAAGTGGTGTAGTGTGTACAGGGTGTGTATTTATATGGGATATAGATTAGTGTGTGTGCATGCAGGGGTGTAATGTGTGTATTTATAATGGGATAAAGTATGTGAGTGCAGGAAGTGTAGTGTATGTTTAGGGAGCATAGAGTGTGTTTACTGTGTGTATGTTAGTGCTGCGCGTATAGTGTGTGTAGTGTGTTTGTGTGAGTGCCGGGGTATAGTGTGTATATAAGAGGTATAGAGTGAGTGTAGTGTGTTTGTGTGAGTGCAGGGCATGAAATGTGCATACAGGGATATAGAGTGTGTGCAGTGTGTAAGTGCAGAGGGTGTAGTATTTATAGAGGGGTATAGAGTGTGTGCAGTGTGTAAGTGCAGAGGGTGTAGTATGTATAGAGGGGTATAGAGTGTGTGTATATAGGTATATAGACTGTGTGTTGGTGCAGTGTGTGTATGTGAGGTGGGTGTATATAGTGGTTGGATATGGGTTTAAATTATTAATTTAATAATTTAACAAAAAAAAGTAAAAAAAAAAAATCACATTTACTCCCCCTTATAACCTTGCAGGGGGGAGAGAGAGCATGCAGATACCTGGTTGTCCAGTGAGAGGGGGCACGCTGCACACAGATCCCTGGTGGTCCAGCCGACAGGTTATTTGGTCTGTACTTCCGCAGGATACAGACCACGTCTCTCTCCCTCTCGCTAGCACTGGTTTTTCAGTGCATTGCCGTGGGTTATCATGGCAACGCTCTGAAAATCTTGGAGCTTGCGAGAGGAGGAAAGGAAGCTATTTGGCACGCATGGAGGGTGTCCGGCTCACTGCCCAATCTCCCCACCGACCCGTGATGGGACAGAATTCCATCTTGGGACCGGTGCTGCCCTGCATGGGCCAGCAGGGGAGATCTCTTGAGCTTTCCTGCTGGCCTCGGCCCATAGCCATCGCGGCCCATCGGGCATTTGCCCCGTTTGCCCGATGACCAGTCTAGGCCTGCATACAATATAATATGTTCCAGTATGAGGCCGAAATGTTCATCTTTTTTTCGGTATGATAATATTATATTCCATAATACATATACAGAGAGGACATGGTAATGGTGTGGGCTATTTCCTATGTAATTTTAGGTAAAAACTAGAAATACCAGATCAAGTAATGCACAGCCCCCCAATACTCAATGTGGCAAACTTTGATGCAACAGTTATCACTGTGTATAAATTCTGTTGTAATTTTAAAACGTGGCGATCCACAAGTAAAACCTAATTTATTAGATTTACTATTATGTGAAGATAACATGACATTATCTTGTATTACAAATTCGGTCTGAAACCTAGAAGTTAGTCAAGAACAAATATGTATTTAATAATCTCATCATTCTCTATATGTCGAAATATCTAAATTGATATGATTTTATTTGCATTAACAAACCGAGTTTAAATCTCCTGCATCAACACATATAGGTCACTCCTGGTACAGGCATTCAGCTACATGGACTTTTACACATTTAGCACATACAAAAACCTTTTATTTAAGCAGATACCGTTCAGTGGGCATCAGATGAAGATACTATGTACATTGTGGAAAAATGATCTATGGTGGAAAAATGTAGCTGGTTAAAATTACAAAGTGCAAAACGGGAAATGAGTCACTGTAGGAGGAGTGAAAAATAGACCATTAGCTTGTATGGTGAACCTCACAACACCACTATTATTATTATTATTGCCATTTATATAGCGCCAACAGATTCCGTAGCGCTTTACAATATTATGAGAGGGGGGATTTAACTATAAAAAGGACAATTACAAAAACTTACAGGAACAATAGGTTAGAGAGGACCCTGCTCAAACGAGCTTACGTTCTATAGGAGGTGGGGTGTAAAACACAATAGGACAGGAAATATCAATCAAATAGGGTGGGAGTGAAGCAGAGCTGGAGGAGAGTAGAGTGCTGCCCTTTAGGAGAGCGCAAGAGACAAGTATGTGAGATAGAGGTTAGTCTGGTAGGCCATAAGCTTTCCTAAAGCAATGGGTTTTAAGGCACTTCTTAAAAGATGCAAGACTAGGGGAGAGTCTGATGGTGGTAGGCAGGCTATTCCTATTCCCGCGAGAAGTCCTGCAAGTGTGAGTTGGCCGTACGGGTGCGAACAACGGACAGGAGGTGGTCACGGGCAGAGTGAAGAAACCGAGAAGGGACATACCTATGGATCTGTGAAGAGATATAAGAGGGGCTAGAGTTGTTCAGTGCTTTATAGGTGTGAATTAGTGCCTTGAATTGACTCCTATAGGATACAGGAAGCCAATGTAAGGTGCTTGTTTGGAGCGGTGCTGCAGTGTTCAAGGCAGAGGTGAGGGTAGTGTTATATGTGGAGATGGCCAGTGAAGGACAGGAGAGGGAAGGGATGGATGGCAGTTGTGAGTCAATATCAGCAAACAGCTGCTGGAGATCAAGAGAATTAAGGTTTCTCCTGAGTTGAGGGGGGTTAGGCTGAGGTTGTTGGGTGAGGGGGTAGACGAGAGCAAATGATAAGAGGTGGTGACCAGAGAGAGGAAATGGAGTGTTGCAGATATTAGATACTGTACATGCATAATAGAAGATTAGGTCAAGGGTATTGCCAGCTACATGGGTGGGAGAATTATCCCACTGTGATAGCCCGAGGGAGGAAGTAATTGAGAGTAGTTTAGAGGCTGCTGAGGTCAAAGGTGGGTTAATGGGAATATTGAAGTCCTCGAGAATTAGGGATGGAATATTAGAAGAGAGGAAATAAGGTAGCCGCTAACTGCTACAAAACCACCTGAGTGACAAGCAAAATAAGTTAAATAAGACAAGCAAAACACTTATACGAAGTATAAGAAAACAAGCTCCAGACAATAAGTGAATATTGTCTGGAGTGGATTTTACCCCTTTCGGGGAGACAAGCCTGCATACTTCTATGTCTCATGAGTGTTCTCACTTCCCCTCCTCCCATGCCCCTTGTTTCTATTGTATTACACTATGTACAGTTTTAGTTTTTTCAGATCTGTGATATTAGATTGGCATATGCCATATCAGGTGATATTTCTACGTATTATTCACTTATTGTCTAGAGCAGTGGTTCCCAAACTTTTTAGGTTCAAGGCGCCCTTAATATTTTAATATTTTTCGAAGGTGCCCAAAGTAAATATAAAATTCTCGGTTGCATATATGTACAGCGCAGCGGCATACCAGGGTTTGGCATTATTAATACCAGAGGGACCTGTTATGCCACATACAGTCAACTTGATGTGTCATATATACTGAGAAGAGAATTAGGTGGTTTTGGGTCATGAGAAAAGGAGTAACTCCCGCGGCTGTTGTTTATATTTGTTGTACACTATTTATTAATTAACTTCTCTCCAGTTAAGCATTAGATCAGGGAGATGGGAGGTTGATACTGAGTAGGATTACTTGGCTGACAGAAATGATCATTTACAATGTGACAACAATATAGTGTTTTGCATGACATGCCTTTTAACACCTCTAACCCTACTATGCATTCTTTGTGTACAGCTACATTACATGTCATAAAGAGTACATAAATAATGTATATCTTTAGGCACACATTATACAGCAGATAATATACCTTCTCAAATGGATATAATTTCTCATTTCCTTTGGTCTAGAATCTCATTTCAGAAGGACTTACATCACCTCCTACCAGGGGCGGACTGACCACTCGGGCATATCGGTCATGGACCGAGGGCCCGAGGCAGTCAGGGGCCCGGCCACACAGCCATGCTCCAGCTGGAGAGATCAGAGATCTCTCCAACTGGAACGGCAAAATAATAAAATAAAACTATTTAATTGATAGGTTGTGGGGCCCCTGATGCAGCGCGGGGCCCCACAACCTACCGCTCTGCTAGTCACCCCCCCATGAGACCTGGCCGCTTCACCAGCTCTCTGCCAGGTCTCCTGCATCCTCTCCCATGCGGCTCTGTGTGATGGGAGAGGCGGGCCAGGAAGTGACATCACTTCCTGTTTACTCCTCTCACACAGAGCCCAGGAGGGGAAGGAGCAGCAGCCGGGGAGAGGAAGCAGAGATGCAGGTAGGCACTAACCACCCCCTCCCCCCCACTGTCACTAGTCACCCCCCCCTCCCACTGTCACCAGTCACCCCCCTCCTGTCACCAGTCATCCCCTCCACTGTCCACTTGATCCACCCCCCCCTCAACATACTAGTCACCCCCCTCTGTCACTAGTCACCCCCCCTCACTGTCACTAGTCACCACCCCCACTGTCACTAGTCACCCCCCCTCACTGTCACTAGTCACCCCCTCACTGTCACTAGTCACCCCCCCTCGCTGTCACTAGTCACCCCATCCCTCTGTCACTAGTCACTCCCTCCTAACTCTGTCACTGTGTCACCTGCTCCCTCACTCTGTCACTAGTCACCCCCCTCCCTCACTCTGTCACTAATCACCCCCTCTGTCCTTAGTGACAGAGTGAGAGAGGGGGTGACTAGTGACAGAGTGAGGAAGGGGGTGACATAGTGAGGGAGGGGGTGACTAGTGACATAGTGAGAGAGGGGGTGACTAGTGACAGAGTGAGGGAGGGGGTGACACAGTGACAGAGTTAGGGAGGGAGTGACTAGTGACAGAGAGAGGGATGGGGTGACTAGTGACAGTCACCCCCTCTCTCACTCTGTCACTAGTCACACCCTCTCTCACTCTGTCATTAGTCACCCCCTCTCTCACTCTGTCACCAGTCATCCATTCCTTCACTCACTCTGCCACTAGTCATCCCTTCCCTCACTCTGTCACCAGTCACCCCTTCCTTCCTTCACAATGACAGAGTTAGGGAGGGAGTGACTAGTGACAGAGTGTAGCGTTACTTACCTTAACCGGGGGCCGGTCGCGGTCCTCTCTTCAAGCCGCGCGCGGTCCTGCGGCTGCACGAGCCGCGCGCGGCTCATCCAACTAATTTGGATGGAAGGCGGGCAGTGACCGCGTGAGGCGGTCACGTGTCCCGCCTGAAACTAAGAGCGCGCCGCGAGTCTCGGGCGCGCTCTTAAAGAGACAGTGGGAGCCTAATTGCCAAAAGGCTCCCATTGGCTCCTGTCATACCACACTCCCTGTACAATTACCTATAGGGGGTGTGGAAGTGACAGGAGCCAATCACTTTCGTTTTAAAGCTATTTAAACTTACCTTTTTCCCTTAGCTCGTTGCCCTATCGTGGTTTCTGTTTCAGTTCCCTTTAGCGCTTGTGGTGTTCAGTTGTGTTTTCTCGTATTGACTTTGGCTTCGTATTCTGACTTCGTTTTCGCTTTATCCTTATCTGTACTGTTTGCCGGCTTGCTGTTTTCCGTGTACCAGACCCCGGCTTGTCCTAGTTTACGCTGTCTCTCTGTGCCCTTGACCTCGGTTTGTTCCTGGCTCTGTCTTCTCTCATATACGTCAAGTCCGGCCATTCTAAGGTCCGGTAGACGTATCTCTCCTCTGTATTTGCCTCTGTTTAGCTGGATCCTGCGTGTAGGGGTATATTCTCGTTACATTACGATAGGGCCATGGACCCCGCAGATTTAGCTCAACAGATGGCGTCCCATGAGGCAAGATTTGTAGAGCAGGATCACCGTATGGATCAAATAGCTCAGGCTCTCCAGACGCTCCTAGCTAGAACCGTTCCAGCAACTACACCTAACCCTCCTACGCCCCTTCTCCCTGAAGTATCTACTTTGCCTAATACTTCGGCCCATTTAACACCTCCTCCTAGGTATGGAGGGGACTCTAAGACTTGCAGAGGGTTTATTAATCAGATTGAATTTCACTTCGAAATGTATCCACGTTCATTTCCCACAGAGAGGTCTAAGGTTGGGTTCTTTATGCACCAACTTACCGATAAGGCACTTGAGTGGGCAAATCCTATTTGGGAAGCTAATGGACCTATGGTACATGATTTCAACAATTTTCTTACGGCTTTTCGTAGAACTTTTGACACAATGAAAAGGTCAAAGAATGCCGCAAGAGCATTAATGAGAATTAAACAGGGTTCTAGGTCTGTGGCTGATTATGCTATTCAGTTTCGCACTCTTGCTTCGCAGGTAGATTGGACCAACAATGGGTTAACTACTGCCTTTATGGAAGGTTTGTCAGATACGATATTGGATGAGGTAGCAGCTAAGGAGCTTCCTATTGCCTTAGAGGACCTTATCGATTACCTCATTGATATTGATAATAGAATTCGTGACAGGCTCTATACCAAGAACAGGAATAGACGTTTTGTTACACCCATTAACCCCAGAGTTAATATACCAGAGAGTGTTAAAGTGTCTGAGGAGGAACCTATGCAATTAGGGGTTGCCAAACTCTCTGATACTGAGAAATTACATAGGAGAAGGGAGGGACTCTGCCTATACTGTGGTAGGAGACCATATGGTAAAGGAATGTCCTTTACTCCCGGAAAACTCTCGCACCTAAGACCTTATAGGGGACTGGCCTTGGGTGTGATATCTAAGTCTCCTAAATTGCCTCCTAACCGCTTGCTTCTCCCGGTTTCTTTATATATGGGAGAGATTTGTATAGTTGACAACATATATGCTCTGGTTGACTCTGGGGCAGCTGAAAATTTTATAGACTCTGGCTTTATAAAGAGAAACAACATTCCCATCAGAGAGAAGGAGATACCCTTGGCCGTTGAGGCCATAGATGGTAGACCATTAAGTTCTCCAGTTGTTACTCATGAGACTGAACCATTACACATGTACACAGGGGTTTTACACTATGAAACCATTCGATTCCAGGTCATCACCTCTCCCTCTTCACAGTTAGTATTAGGGTATCCATGGTTACGTGCTCACAATCCCATTTTTGACTGGGAGACAGGGCAAATAAAATCATGGAGTAAGGCCTGCCACGAGTCTTGTACGTTGGAAGTCACACCTTTGAATTCTATTGAGGTACCTACCAGTCCTCCTTTGTCTATGGTTATACCCCCTCAGTATTTATCTCTAAAGACTGTTTTCGATAAAAGGGAGGCTGAGAAATTACCGCCTCACAGACCCTATGATTGCGCTATTGACTTGTTGCCTGGCACTATACCTCCAAAGGGCAGGGTGTACCCCTTATCGGTTCAAGAAAACCGTGTCATGGAGGAGTACATCAAGGAATCACTAGAAAAAGGGTTTATTAGGAGATCCTCTTCTCCAGCTGGAGCAGGGTTCTTCTTTGTATCGAAGAAAGAAGGTGATTTAAGACTGTGTATAGATTATAGAGGTCTAAACAAAATCACTATCAAAAATGCATACCCTATACCTTTGATTACAGAATTATTTGACAGGCTGAAACATGCCACTGTGTTCACTAAATTAGACCTTAGGAGTGCATACAATTTGATACGTATAAAGGAAAATCACGAATGGAAGACTGCATTCAACACTAGATCCGGTCATTACGAATACACTGTTATGCCATTTGGGCTTTGCAATGCCCCAGCAGTATTCCAAGAATTTATTAATGATGTCTTGAGAGATTTTATTCACACATTTGTTATCGTATACTTGGACGACATTTTAATATATTCTGCAGATATACACACTCATCACAGACATGTTACGACAGTTTTGAAGACCCTTCTTGCTAATGGTCTTTATTGCAAGCTAGAAAAATGTCTGTTTGACCAAACCGAAGTCCAGTTCTTGGGGTATTTGATTTCCGCTAAAGGTTTTCGTATGGATCCCCAGAAGCTAGCTGCTGTAATAGAATGGCCTCTACCGCAAGGTCTGAAAGCTATTCAGCGTTTTCTTGGGTTCTCCAATTATTATAGACGTTTTATCAAAGGTTTCTCGTCCATTGTAGCACCTATTACCCGTATGACTAAAAAGGATGGCAATACTCGTGTTTGGTCTACCGAGGCACTTCAGGCTTTTGAATTTCTTAAAACTACGTTCGCCTCTGCACCTATTTTACAGCATCCTGTCCCCTCACTGCCCTATATTCTTGAAGTTGATGCTTCGGATATTGGGGTAGGTGCTGTCTTGTCCCAAAGAGAGTCGCCTGAGAAGCCATTGCATCCATGCGGCTTCTTTTCTAAACAAATGTCCAAAGCAGAGAAAAATTATGATGTGGGTAATCGCGAACTCCTTGCTATTATTTTAGCACTTAAAGAGTGGAGACATTTGTTAGAAGGAACTAAGGATCCTATCCTCATTTTTACGGATCACAAGAACCTATCCTACCTTAGCGAAGCCAAAAGATTGTCTTCCAGGCAGGCTAGGTGGTCACTATTTTTGTCCCGTTTCAATTTTATTATCACCTATAGGCCAGGTGATCGCAACACTAAAGCAGACGCTCTGTCCAGACAGTTCGAAACTACTGACAAACAGGAGATTGATGTTACTCCTGTCATTCCCCCAGACAGGATAATAGCTACTACTATTTTGTCTATTTCCTCGTCCCTCTTGCAGACCATACAAGCGAAACAAAGCATGGCACCTAGCGAGAGGCCTAATGATAAACTGTTCGTTGATGTTCCTGAGAGACGGGATATTATGTCATTATATGATGATACTAAGACCGCTGGACATCCTGGTATTTCCAAAACGGTGTCAGCTGTTTCTCGGTATTTTTGGTGGGATTCCTTACGAAAGGATGTCACTGACTATATAAATGCTTGTACTACTTGTGCCTGTATGAAATCCTCCCGTAGAGTTCCTTGTGGGCTGTTGCATCCGTTACCCGTTCCCGAGAGACCTTGGTCTAACCTGTCCATGGATTTTATTGTTGAATTACCCCCTTCAAATGGTAACACAGTAATCCTGATGATAGTGGATCGGTTCTCCAAAATGGCTCACTTCGTGTCTCTTCACAAGTTGCCCACATCCAAGGAACTGGCTCATATCTTCGCTAGAGAAGTATTTCGATTACATGGGATTCCCGTATCTATTGTATCCGATAGGGGTAGCCAATTTATTTCCAGGTTCTGGAGGGCCTTTTGTTCAGAAATGGGTATTTCTCTCTCATTTTCTTCCGCTTATCATCCCCAGTCTAATGGGGCTGCTGAACGTGCCAACCAGTCTCTGGAGCAATACCTCCGTTGTTTTGTGTCTCACCATCAGGACAATTGGTCTGACCTGCTTCCTTGGGCTGAATTTGCTCGGAATAACGCCACTCATGATTCTTCCGGCAAGAGCCCTTTTTACGTTGTCTATGGCCAGCATCCCGTTGTTCTTCCGGCTGCATTCTCCTCACAGGGCATGCCAGTTCTGGATGAGCATTTGGCTGGTTTGCGTAATACTTGGGAGCAGGTTCAGCGTTCTTTGGTGGACTCTGCTACTCGCCAGAAGGCTCAGGCTGACAAGCATCGCAGAGCAGCTCCGTCCTATGTTGTGGGGGACAGGGTTTTGCTTTCCACGCGGAATATTCGTCTCCGGGTGCCTTCTATGAAATTGGCTCCCCGCTTCATTGGACCTTATCGTATTATACATAAGGTTAATCCTGTTTCTTATGCCTTAGGCCTGCCTAAGAATCTACGTATTCCTAATGTTTTTCACACCTCATTGTTGAAACCTTTCGTACGCAACCGCTATACCCGGCATACTCCTCCTCCCCCTCCTATCTCGGTGGAGGGTCATGAGGAGTTTGAAGTGTCTGCTGTTCTTGACTCTCGTTTCCTTAGGGGTCGACTTCAGTACTTGGTACATTGGAAGGGTTATGGGCCTGAGGAGCACAGTTGGATTTCGGCCGATGCTGTCCATGCTCCCCGTCTTGTGCGCTCTTTCCATTCACGTTTTCCTGCCAGGCCTGGTCCTACCCGCCCGGGGGGCGTGTCCTCAGGGGGGGGTACTGTAGCGTTACTTACCTTAACCGGGGGCCGGTCGCGGTCCTCTCTTCAAGCCGCGCGCGGTCCTGCGGCTGCACGAGCCGCGCGCGGCTCATCCAACTACTTTGGATGGAAGGCGGGCAGTGACCGCGTGAGGCGGTCACGTGTCCCGCCTGAAACTAAGAGCGCGCCGCGAGTCTCGGGCGCGCTCTTAAAGAGACAGTGGGAGCCTAATTGCCAAAAGGCTCCCATTGGCTCCTGTCATACCACACTCCCTGTACAATTACCTATAGGGGGTGTGGAAGTGACAGGAGCCAATCACTTTCGTTTTAAAGCTATTTAAACTTACCTTTTTCCCTTAGCTCGTTGCCCTATCGTGGTTTCTGTTTCAGTTCCCTTTAGCGCTTGTGGTGTTCAGTTGTGTTTTCTCGTATTGACTTTGGCTTCGTATTCTGACTTCGTTTTCGCTTTATCCTTATCTGTACTGTTTGCCGGCTTGCTGTTTTCCGTGTACCAGACCCCGGCTTGTCCTAGTTTACGCTGTCTCTCTGTGCCCTTGACCTCGGTTTGTTCCTGGCTCTGTCTTCTCTCATATACGTCGAGTCCGGCCATTCTAAGGTCCGGTAGACGTATCTCTCCTCTGTATTTGCCTCTGTTTAGCTGGATCCTGCGTGTAGGGGTATATTCTCGTTACACCGAGAGAGGGATGGGGTGACTAGTGACAGAGTAAGGAAGGGGGTGACTAGGGAGAGAGGGGGTGATTAGTGACAGAGTGAGGGAGCGGGTGACACAGTGACAGAGTTAGGGAGGGAGTAACTAGTGACAGAGAGAGGGGTGGGGTGACTAGTGACAGTCACCCCCCCCCTCACTCTGTCACCAGTCATCCCCTTACTCTGTCACTAGTCACCCCTTCCCTCCCTCACTCTGCCACTAGTCACCCATTCCCTCACTCTGTCACTAGTCTCCCATTCCCTCACTCTGCCACTAGTCACCCATTCCCTCACTCTGTCACTAGTCTCCCATTCCCTCCCTCTGTCACTAGTCTCCCCCTCTCCTTCCCTCTGTCACTAGTCACCCACTCCCTCACTCTGTCACCAGTCACCCCCACTCACTGTGTCTCCCCCTCACTCTGCCACCACTCAACCCCTCCCTCCCTCACTCTGCCACCAGGTACCCCCTCACTCTGCCACCTGTCACAACCTCCCACACTCTTCCACCTGTCACCTTCTCCCTCACACACTCTGTCACCTGTCACATATGCATTCATGTAGTCATCCAGACATGCACAAGTGCATTCACACAGACTCAAATACAAACATGCATTGATACACAGGTCTTCACAATACACACATCCAAAGGAATGCCGTATTATGAATTATATTTAACATTTATAAAAATGCACATATATTTGGCCTTCAAAGGGCCTGGGATCTAATTTTGCCCGGGGGCCCCAAAGGCTCTCAGTCCGCCCCTGCTATGTAATATCAATATATAAAACAAAATATCAAAAATACATATTTTTCATAATATTGAATCACTGTAAAAGTTTATCCGTAAGTTTGAAACCATGTCCTATGTTGGCAAGTATGTAACTGATCTTCGTAAAGTGAGCATAGAAAGGATACAAATAATACAAACCTGGAAATAATGGGAAGGAACCATATTGCAATGTTGAGCATATATTTATTGAAAACAAAAGTTGTTAGGAATAAATTATTATTTACAGCAAGGTATTCATCACTGAATTTTTATGTAAATGACTAAGTAGACAAAAAAAATGTATTTATGATTCATAATGTGCTCGCTCACCAGGTAGTTTTTTGTTTCCATTCTGTAGATGACAGGTGCATTAAATGTTGGCTTTTACTATGCTTTTACTGTACAGTTTGTGAGTTAAAGGAAGAACAAAGGAACAATAAATTGCTCACAACCATTACAATGCCTAAGATACAGGCCATGCCAAAATGAATAGAAATATAGAAAAAGGAAAACAGAAGTGAAATTTTATAAAAGTTAACAAAAAAAGAAAAATACACATGTATCTGTGACTTGGACTGTGGTGATAAATAGCTATGTATTCCCTTAATTGATGTATTTAAAGTGAACCTGTCACTGGTGCAACAACTTCATCTTAAATTAAATAGTTATTCCAATCATAATAGCCACTACAGCCTGATGTAATGGTTAAGATGTGAGGAGTTCTCTGTCCCGGTACCTGATAGTGTAACAAACCATTTAGCAAGGACTGTGATAGCTATAGGAATAAAATGAGATATGGTAATTTATTCTGTAGGAAGTGTTCTGTTAAAATGCATATACTATGGTCACATAGCTAATTCTTTCAATCGAATCAAATTAAATCATTAAATGAACGCACCTCTGTTCTATGTAGTGCAACAATTAAGTTTTGCCATAGATGTATCATTTCAACAGATCGACATTTACTGTCCATCTAAGAACTATACATACATTTATATATCTAATGTCCAGATTGCATATGAATCAGGCATATATTTCAAGAGCATAAATCCGATAAATGTACACTGATGAACATGGGACATTTGATTTTTAAATGATCTAATGTTTCCACTGGTCTGTTATTGTTTATTGTCTGTTATTGGATGGATTTTGCGACACTGAAGAGGTTAAAGATATGCATACCTATTTGTGGTGGAGTTGCACAAAATAGTTTGAAAATCATAACTGCAATTTTAATGATAAACAGCACTCAGTGGGCCTGGGGAACCTTGTGGTATGTTGTATTGGCAATAAATACATATGAGCATTGCGTTCAAGATAAGGTAATCCTTCTCTCCTGCTGCAAATCTAAAAATCTCACAGAATAGCTCAGAGCCTCCTAACACTAGTGCGCGAGGGGTGAATATTTGCCTGATTGATATTGTCCTCACGGAGTGAAGAATGGCTAATAGGAATTATCATATCTAATGCAATCAGAAGACAAGTTGAGGACTAAATGATGGCGACATTTTAATTGCTCTGCCTGTTCCATATGCCTGCCCACGAGCAACGCACTGACAAACAAGTCAGTTTACAGGCTGGAAGAACGGTTCCTCCAGATAGAATTTCTGATGGAAATTGGCAGCTCTCAAAATGAATAAATGGTTTGTATGACTCATCTACATGTTGTCAGATCTGCATGGAAAAATGATGGCCATGACAGTGAGGGCTACTGGAAGAAATGGTCGCTGAAAATCACAGGGAGTAAATAACTGAGCAGGCAATTCTCAGTTAACCTTGGTACTGCAGACCAACAGAACTAAGTTTCCCATGATGCCGCACAGGGCTATTTCACATGTAACAAGTTTGCAAGAAAAAAAAACGTTCTCTGTTTTACAATCTATTCAAATGTGTTTTTGTTTTTTTATAGGTGAGAAAATCACTTTAAAGCTTGGATGCGTTTGTGTCAATTCACCAAAACCAAAGTATGTATTCTTTTTCACAGAAAAATACTGTCAAGATGAGTTTTCAGCCTTGACATTATCTTTCTTTTTTTTTTTTAGATGAGCAACTCTACGCAAATTGAATGTTATCAGTACTTTATGAGAAAGCGGACAAAATCTAATAATACAGTTTTGCTTGCTGGAGTGAGCCGCAGTGACTTGGAAAGCGCAAAAATAAATATGCAGACTGATGCAAATATATGAAGTTGTCATGGTGATAAAATAGGACAAGAATAAGGGCGTGATAATGTAATACATGCAATCATTGTTCAGGCGTTCTTTTTACTGCAATTTTTTAGTAATATACAGTAGTAATTCCCACAAAGGGTTACATGCAATTAAGTTAGCTAATGTGTAACACTTAAGGAGTGTGATTTATTGTGTAATATACACATGTGATGAGATTTGGAAGGTATGAGTGTTATTATTATCACATTACTGTACACGGAGGGAAAAGAAAAACCTCTACAAAAAAGGTAAACACATTTTTCAAAGTCATACTTGCTCACTTCATTATTATAACTTTTTTCTTCCATTCTCTTAATGCACATCCTCACTGTTTTTTTTTTTTTTTTTGTGTTTTGTTTTTTTCTTTTAAATACTGTGGCTTATTGTGTTTCTGTCTGTTCAGCCCTAGCCATGTCTCCTCGGGCTGTCAATCACACAGCAAACATGAAAAAATGGTTTAATTTACAATCAGCTTTACAGGACATGTTAATTAAACTTGAATCATACATGTGAGACTGCTGTGGGATTTAAAATGCTATTTACATAGCAGGAGATAAGAAATACTAGATTAAACACTTTGTGCAACATGGGAACCTAAAAAATGCAGACTCTTTTTCAAAAAGTGTGTAGGAAGACTGCGTGAGTCTTGGCCAAGGTAGGTGTGGCTTGGGCTGCATAAATTGTTTTTTATTTAACTCCTAACTGCAGAGAATTTAGCAGTGAGACTACAGAGTCAAGATCTATACACCAAAACAGCTTCATTAAGGTAAAGTTGTTTTAATGCTTATAGTGTCTCTTTAAAGGGATACTATAGTGCCAGGAATACAAAACTGTATTCCTGGCACTATCGCTCTCCACGCCAATCCACTCCCTCACACACATTGCAGCACTGAGTGCAAAAGTGACACTGCACCCAGACCACTTCAATGAGCTGAAGTGGTCTGGGTGCCTATAGTATCCCTTTAAGCATTTGGAACACTGAAATGTGTTTCATGTAAAAGGCTTTTACCAATCTGATTTTTTTTTCGTGCGCCAGAATGCTTTAAGAAAAATACTATTACCCTCAAATGTAACATACTGAGTTCACTTGCTTTGTTCAGTTCATGAACTGGTGCCCCTAGAAAGTAATCTTTAGAGCCTTAATATAAATTGTACTTTAATTACAAAAGTGGCCTATTTATCTTGGTTTGTTATTTTTCTGTCCCATATGTTATTTCTATTTGTATGCAGTCTTTTTGTAAATAAACCCTCAACCATTTTCCATCTGCATATTCATTATTTGAAGGGAGCACAGATCTGATCCAGGCCGTGTGCTTGGCTTGCTGTACTAAGGTAAGCCTTGATTTTGGACTCTGCAAGTAGGTCGCATTGATATAGATGTTCTGACTTCTGATACTAAATTGCCAAATGCACTAGTAACACTTTCCACAGTAAATATAGTGTCAATGTATTTACGGAAGGTTTGATGTGTGCTGCTCTGTTATCTTACCTGTCACAGGTACAGCAGGTCATTAAGGCCAGTAAATTGTAGATAATATAAGTGAAGATGACAGCGGTGATGGTTCCACGAGGGATTGAGTAACTCGGATTCTTCAAATCTCCTGGAAAAAAAAAGAGAAAAAAAATACAAAGTCAGGGCATGCTGCCTCCCGCAACGGCCCAGTCTTGTTATGGTCACAGGAGTTTTCTTTACCTCCATTTTGGTAAAATATGACCCAGAATGAATTGTAAAAAAGGGCATTGGTGATCTTCCACAGACTGTCTAATATGGCTGGATATCTGCCAACAATGTTTTTCTTGCTCCACCTTGCCTTGTTAGACTGACACACACATATTGCAAGGCTTTATATGCTATACACTAACCACTACTCGCTAACATATCTTAAAGTCTTGTCAGTTGTTTGTTGGTTTTTTTGCTGTGCATTTATATTGTTAGTTTTGCTACTTCTTTTATATCAAACATGTGCTAATATGACATATTAGTGTCCTTTCCCATGTTTTTAAAATGATTTAGCTGCGTAATAATGATTAATCATAAATTAGCCAAAATAAATTCACAATAGGATTAGTAGGATATAGTGTCACGCGGTGTCTTTGTGGTTGTGCCAGTATCATTGTCACTGTCAACACACATTTTTCAAAAGCAATGTAAAAACAGTAATGGTCTTACCAGACATGTTGGATCCAGCCATGATTCCTGTACAGCCGTTAAACATAACAGCAAATACAGTGGCAAAGGTCATCATCTTTTTA